TGGAAATAAATTACGACAAACCAACCCAGTCAAACGAAAAGCTTGGCATTAGTCTGTACGCGTTAACGCTTGCAACGTGAGCTTGTGTAGAGATGTTGCCAAACCTAAAAGCTTTAATCAGGATAGTTTTAAGGAGATGACAGAAATACACTACAGATATGCCACGTGAGTACTGAACTCACAGATCAGAGGTAAACGAATAAGATCAGTTCGTTACGGGGCGTTTGAGACTATCGCGCCAGCTGCGATTGATGACGTTTGAGACTATCGCGCCAGTTACGGCCGATGACGTTTGAGACTATCGCGCCAGCTGCGACCGATGACGTTTGAGACTGTCTCCCCAGCTGCGACCGATGACGTTTGAGACTATCGCGCCAGCTGCGACCGATGACGTTTGAGACTATCGCGCCAGCTGCGACCGATGACGTCGAACGCTCGCCACACGACATGAAATTGGGAACGGTGCGGGGCGGTTGGTTGTGTTTATGTTGTGATAAGCTCACCGGCTGGAAATACCTAGATGATCGTCAGTTATTTTAAGGGGATGTCTGCCTCTTCTAAGGATCATATACTTTAGAGGGCATCACCGGTAAAAGCGTTAAAAACCCCTCCAAGCTAGGAGGCTTGCTTTGTGTTGATACGGGAACTGTAGCTTCAGAGGTCAACGGAGGATCTTGGGGCGACACATGTCAAGGATTCATCTGAGGCCTCTTGCCGCCGAGAGAAACAGCGGCTTTGGAATAAGGGGCGAGTATCTTCTGCCTGGGTCTCGTACACTGGCCGCCGCACCTCAGATTTAGCAAATTGGCCAGTGACAGGCGTGAGATAGAACGCTTGGTGTTGTCATTATACTGTAAATAGTGCTAAATGAAGGTAATAACCATGCTGAAAAATGCATTGTGTATTTGCTAATACCAAAATTGCATAGGTTTTATACTAAGTTAAGTTAAGTGAGACGGTGATAGGAAGTGCGAGGGATAATGGCGGTGATATGCGAAGACAGTGGAGGTTGCCAACGCTTCCAGTTGGTTGTGCAGTGACGCCATCCAACCAAAAGTGATGGTGTTTTCGGATTTTTTAGAGCCCTGATAATCAGTAGATGTAGGGCTACAGGGATGCAGTTTTGGAAAAATGGGTAGTGGTAAATAAGGGAGGGAGGGGGATAAAGAAGAACACACTGGCCGAGTTTGCCCCGAAGTGCTGTTGGAACAGTTTTCTCTCCAGATTTGACCAACTTTCGATTCAGAGTCGAAAGCAGGGGCATATACTTTGTCAAAATTAGTTTGCCGGGGGCTGAACTCTAAAAAATTATGCCTGATGAAAAATAATGAAAAATGATCATTACAACTATGAAACCGCATCCCTGGTTGGAAGCCACAAACCCTCAACTGATAAGAAAACTATATGCCCTTGTATGGTTAGTTACATAGCAAGTCTCTATATGATAATTATATCATATCAGCCTCAATCATCATTCAGTGTTTGATGGATTAAATAGGGTCATCCAGTTCAACAGTTGCTCCGGAACAAAGCCTAAGCTGAATGTAGTTATTTTGAAAGAAGTCTTAACCACGATAACCCGATAATGCTTGCTTGGCTTCGAGACCGTCCGCACAGTAACATACGCACACACATGTGCATTTACGGAGGCAATTGATTAGCAGATAGCTGTATTTCAGTGTGGAATTGATCATTTCCGTGATGAATGTCACATAGTTGTGAATCTCAATCTGCGAGGGATGTCGTCAGGATTCACTCAAGGAGGCAAGCATCCATCTTGGGCCAAAACTATTGCTGAAAGTGGCTAAATTGTTGATGTGCAGTTGGTCCCAACTATGCCTCTTGCAAAGCTTATTATCTTGTTTTACCCATCCCATCCAGTTACCGCTCCCCCCGCTAATGATGATGTTGGATCTTTTGGATACTTTGCAGCCAGATAAGTTTACCTTTGAACACCATGGGGCTTCTATCGGATTTTTGGGACTGTAGCGTGTTTAGGCTTTATATGCGTGCATGCAATAGCGCCCTTTTTTCATTAAATGACGTCTGCTATATTTCCTTCAGACATCTCCTTTCTTTTTGTTGTCGGAGTAATGTTATTAAGCCTGTACAAGTGAAAATCTCAACTTCATTATGAACATGCCAAACATAATGTTTGGTCATGGCTCATTCGTTAGCCCTCGCCGTGATTCGCCGTTCTTCACAACGCAAACCAATGGGTGAGGAGGTGAAGCGCGATGTGATACCTCCCCGCTCCGAAACTAACGTAGTGTCACTCGAGAAAAAAACGGGTAGATTGGCCGTAACTAGATCTCACGATCGGTAAGAGACATTATGATACTAGACTAGAAATGTGTTAAGGGACAACATTTCCTGAAAGTTGAACATTTTTGGTTTTTATGTTACTATATACGAGGCCACACCCTGTGGTGACACGGAATATTAACAGGCGTGCTCTTGTTTAATTATGAGTACATTGGCATGCTGTTTGATGTGCATTGAGCATATTGCTGCAGTTTAGGACTCCTGCTAACATAACAGTGTCACCTGGCCACCCGCGCCCTCCGTTGGTCATTATCAGGGATACTACTTCCTAAAAGCGGTTAACGGCTCAACCGGGTTGGCTCAACAAGTTTGGCCTCACCTACGCCTCAAACCTGGTTTCTCCCCAGATTCCGGCCATTTGCAATTCGAGTGGCCGAAAAATGTGACAAATGCACTTGCCAGCGTTGGGTAAAAACATGCATCAACTTTTATCAGGGCCATCCTGTACTTTTAATGGCTGCGGCATGTTGCGTTTAGTTGTAATTTATCCCAATACATGTGCTTTCATTAAAAAACTTGTCAAACATTTGCACACTGGCTTAACATATGAAGAAGTTGATATTGACAAAGGCATTACGTTCCTACAGAGTACCATTTGATGCAAAACATCCATGATGCTAACAGTGATGTGTTAAGCTTCCTCCCCTAAGGTTTTCGAAGGATATCTCTCCGGCGTGTCATGCAATCGCACCCAAACTTTCGGTAGCTTCTGAGACACGTAGTGCGCGTGTTTTGACGTCAAAAACGTGTCTTTAGCGATCAGCTGGTGAGTAGTCATTGACTTTACGGAGCACTGTACAGCAATCCACGTCTGGCGCAGGCGACCAGGGGTGCAAAAACTATTGATTTACAGGATGTGAGCGATTACAAGAATGAGCTCTTCTGCAGTTTATTTGGTGACAAAGTTGCGGAAATGGAAAGAAATGGCTTTGGCAGCAAACAAAAGACATTTTCTCCACTAGTGATAAGCCCTAACTGAGCTCCGCACCTCTCTTTTATTTTTCCGGCATCGTCCCTCTAGTTCATAATTCGTCGCGTTTCATTCGATATTTTTTGGGGCATGCAGTAAACTTGCATTATCATTTTTTGGCGGTATTGTTTTTATAAAGATATCGCTATGTCTGTTAAATATTTTGCATTTTCTACTTTGGGCAAGCCTGTGAATCGATAGGCATTCACTGTAATTTTATTTCGCAAGTCCATCGGAGAAACTCTGTAATGCCCCCCCCCCCCCCCTACACACACACCTCTCCCAAGCTGCCGTCAAGTAGAGGTTGCCGTGCGTGACCGTTAGAGGTATTGTGCATTTGATCCCAAACACTTGTGTAGCTAGAAATACTTCGCTCCACAACGTACAAAGATGGATCTCCCGTGAACTGGTCTGTGTCTAGTCGCATTCCTTTAACCTCGAAATGGCGCAGACTAGCATTTAAGCCATCATATATTTTGCATGCGTGTTCAGTGGTAGCATTCCAGCGCAGTTCTTCAAAACCTGCTTGATTTGCTTCCGACACGATTCTAGCATGTTAAACATTGGAAGGGCGTTGGCGTAGACTAACGCACGGATCCAGTCTCTCATCACAAGTGCGCAGCTTGGCCGCACCGATCCAGTCGTTCATCACAAGTGCGCAGCGTGGCCGCACCGTGGCACCCACCCGGTGTTTCTATGCTTGGTGACGAGCTACGACAGGCTCATCACTCCCCACTAACTGCAGCTGCCCTATTAGTTGGAGAACACAGAAAGAGCATCACCTCCGTCTTCCATCGGTCCCATACTGCATATGTGCATTAGCTGCACGCACGCCACCACCTTGGACGCTGCGCTACTCCCGGCCGACTAAAGTTAGGAGGCGTTGTTGGTTTTCGAGCGGTAACGAGCTGTCGGCAGTTCCGGCAGAGTAGGCTTTAATCAGATGATCCGAGCGTAGCGTAATTGGTTTATGAATGCTTAAAACGTCCCAGGCGTGACTAAACGCCGAACTCCGGCGAGCATCTAAATATAGCTGCCGACCGATGTCGACCGAATCCTGGAGAGACTGGACCTGGCCTCGGCCGTCGGGGCGACCTCTGCCGCCGAGACCGTCGGCTGGCCTCTCTGCTGTCCACCGGCTCAGGCGGGGCTCCGCCGCCGGGACCGTCGGCTGGCCGCTCCGCTGTCCACCAGCTCAGGCGGGGCTCAGCAGCGGCCGCACGGCCGGTCTGCTGCACTGAAGATGGCGGTGCCAGCTGTCATGCTGACCCTCCCCCCCCCCTCCCTCCTTCGGGACGATATCCATGTCCAAGGTCATGACTAAGGGCATACCCCGTGGCGATGCCAGAGTTCTGCGCCATAGGGCTGCGTTATCGGGCGCAGCCGGCCATGTGGACTGGTCTCTCTAGATGTAGAAGGACGTCTCCATTCGTGAGATATTCCATTGAGATTTGAGCTCTTTCCGTCACGTATCATTTTCATTCACAATGTGCGCTTCTGCCCGGTTTTAGCGTGGCGTGACGTCCGCAGTGTTCGCCATTAACGGTGACGACACCACCGGCAGATTCTGTCTTACCAGAGAGCGGCTGGTCGGCGTGATGCGTGCCGACTCACCCAGGCTCGTGTTAAGCCGTCGCCACACGCCACTGCTCGTCATGCCAGGCCCGAAGCGTCGAGACGGCGCTGATCCCGCCTGGGTCGACAGGTGCGGCTGGCCATCAGCAAGATGATATACGACTACTGTTCGTCGCGGACAGCGGAAGCGTACCGGCGCGGCTCCGGCTTCTCGAGCGTGTTCCTGACGACGGTGGCCGAGCCGGCCCGGGCCGAGCCGGCCCGCGCTCTGGTGGCCTGCGGCTGCGTCCGTACCAAGTCACCGTCGCCCGCCTGCCAGGGGTGAGTGGACGCGCATCGGTTCGCGGCACGGGGACACGAGCGCGCCCGAGATGTCGCCCTCCGTCAACAGGCGAAGGGAAATGGAAAAAATAACACGTGTTAAGCGAGGCGGTAGGGGAGGGCGGGGGGGGGGGGTAAGAACGGCTATCAGTCATTGATTTACTGTCTAATGCTACAGGGTTACGCGAAATGTTTAATTAGGTTTGCTGGATAAATCCTGGATGCCTCCCCGCCCGAGTCCCTGATTATAGGATCCGACAGAATTTGTATCAGTTAAGCCGTTGTTGCGTCCAGGTGGAATGCAAATACGAGGTGGGTGTAACCTTTCCAAGCATGGCCTTCCTGCAGCCTTCAACGTTTGTTGACCATCGTTTCCGAGCACACCCAGGCATTGTTTTTGAATGTGTGTAATAGAAAATGACCTATGTTTTATATGCCGCGTGGTGTTAATGAAGTGTGGATGCCGCTAACTCTCATGTCTGCTACATGCAGTAGCACGTTCTTCGATATCTCCTAGAGATATGCAGCGAAGTGGTTAAATTATGAACCCAGTCTATATATTGGTGTTATGGTGTGCTAGTGTTCTTGACCGAATGTGCCCATATAAGAGATGCATAGTCTGAACACCCAAATATTACACTTTTCATTTAAAAATGCGTCTTAAGGTGAGTAAGAAAAACGTGCTGTAAAATGCGCTTAAACGTGTTCCCTGGCAAGAAGTGGTGACATGGTTTTTTCTTGACAGCCTTTCAGTGCTCGAAGCCGCAAATTTAAAGCAAACAAAGTTAGACTTGGGATCCCCATGTTTTCATAAATTTTGCCGAGCCAAAACAGCTCAATACGCCTTCCTCATCCGGAGGCACCCTCAGCATCAGTAGTTTCCCCATCGGTCTGTTTGAATGGCGACATTTTTCTCAGACAAAGGCGGTGAACTGATGGCTATGGATTCCATCTTCTCGCGGCAAACCATCTTGCTGGATTTTTGACAGTTTGTTTTCTCCCAGGCTTTATCAAACGGGTGGTGGTACTGCGTGTCTATCACCCGGTGCGTCCGAAAAGGTGGCGTGCATGCAAGAGAGCGCGAGCGCGGCATTTACGAACGTATTTTGGTCTTCTGGACAGTGATATTTTCAAACATTGCTTTATCACAAGAAGAACACCGCAGTATTATCAGTTTCATGAAAAGTACGCTTCGGCATGTTTTTGAAAAGAAAAGAAAATTCTGGGAACCAGGACATGTCGTGTACAGGGCAGTTTAGGCGACTATTTGCTGCAAACGGCTTGCTAGGTCTAAATGAAGATTTCCAACGTAAAAGAACAGCGTCTACATCAAATGCAGCTTAAAAGGGCTCATAACCACAAACATGCTTGCACGATAAGTAATGAAATGTTGCAAAACATTCCGCCCTTAGACATTCATGAAAACGGCTGTGATGTGCTAGAACCTGCGCTTAGACGGTGTTTATGTGTGCAGCGCGCATGCCCTCGCACACGATCGCTCCCGCTCCCTTGCCGCCCGTTCCGTGGTGCCTCGACTGGCCGCGCGGCTCGGTTTGATTGCAACCGAGCCCTGCCTCTGTTGTAGTGCCTGTCGTCTTCTGTTGCCCTCACCACCTTCCCACATCAACACGGAGATCTGAGAGGACGCGGTGGCGGGCGCCGACGACATAGCTAGCTCTGCATGACTGATTGTTAGCTGTGGGCAGTCGGCAGACAGGTGAGAGAGAGCCAGAGACAGAGAAAGAGAGAGAGAGAGAGAGAGAGAGAGAGAGAGAGAGAGAGAGAGAGAGAGAGAGAGAGAGATAGAGGGAGGAGAGAGAGAGGAGAGAAGAGAGAGAGAGAGAGAGAGATGAGAGAGAGAGGAGAGAGAGAGAGAAGGGGGAGAGAGAGAGAGAAGAGAGAGAGGAGAGAGAAGAGGAGAGAGAGAGAGAGAGAGAGAGAGGAGAGAGAGAGAGAGAGAGAGAGAGAGAGAGGAGAGAGGAGAGAAGAGATGA